CCCCCCCCCTCCCCCCCGCGCCTGCTTCCAAGGCCTCCTCCAGACACAAAGAGGACGATGCCCCTGGGAAGGGGGGTGCCTGGCCAGGTGCAGCACAGAGCTGCACATCCTGCAGGGCCTGCCTGAAACCTGAGCCCCCCGCCCCGTTCGCACCTGAATGCCTCTCCCCAAGCAAGGGCCCTGCCTACCCGGGACTGCAAAGAATGCGGTTCAACTTGTTGGAAGATACAGCCCGCCTGTCTCACGGGAAGGGCCCTCCCCGTCCATGCACACCCGCGCTCCCTCTCCGCTCCTTGCCCTGCCACCTCCTGTCTCCTCTCGCCCAGCCCCTGCCTTCTTGCTAACAGGAGGCGGCAGGCGTGCAGACCTTGCCACGGGCCCTCGGTCCTCAGGTGAGGCTCTTACCACTTCAGCAGCCGCCTTTATCGCCTCCTGCAGCCCATACAGCTTCCCCGCAACCAGGAAAACCCCAGCGGTCCATATCGCACAGGCCTCGTGGACCCAGTGTTCCTGCGTGTCGCCCGCCGGCTCCTGAGCCGGGGACTCGGGCTTGCTGCACTCGTGCCTCTTGGGCTTCTCCGCCGCCTCCTCGCCCTCTGTCCTCTCATCACAGCAGTAACAGCTTTGTAGTTTCCTGAACATCCCCCTAGAGCTCGACCGGAGGGCGCTCTGCTTGGCCGAGTCGGCAGCGCTGTCCAACCTCGGCACCTTGCCGGCGGCAGCGCTCGCTGGACAATTATCCGTCGCTTTGAGCACGCGCTCGGCGGGCAGAGGCAGGGGCGCCTCGTCGCTTGGCCCCTCCGCTTTGATCTTGTCTTTCAGCCTCGACTTCTTCTTCGGCAGGCAGTCCTCGGGGTAGTACGGCCCGCACAGGTCCCCCAGGTCTTTGTAGTTGGCTGGGTTTCGGCAGACGCAGCACACCAGGCAGGTGGCGTTGAGCGTCTTGGACACCACGGGGCCCAGGTGCATGGTGGAAGACGAGGGCAGCGCCGCTCGGGGCTGCGGCACGGCCCCGCTGGGAGGCAGGGCCTGGGCCGCGGACGAGCGGTGCTGCTCCTTCTGAAGCCTGGCCTCGTCCCCGGGGGAGTTGATGACGGTGCAGGTAGTGGTGAACTCGTCGTGCTTCTCCACGCGCACGTACGGGGAGAAGGGCAGCGCCCGGCTGTCTGTCCGCAGCCGCTTGCACGAGATGTACTTCAGGCGGATCTCCGGCTCCGTGGGGTGGAGCAGAGGGGCCTGCTGCTGCTGCCGCCGCCGCTTGCCCCTGCTCTTACACCGCGACGCCACGCTCTTGGCCTTGCCCCGGGCGAGCCGCTTCCTCTGCCGCTTGGAGTAGCCATTGTAGTTGGAGTGGTTGGCTCGCTGCTTCGGCGCCCGGGCCTGGCCCGGGGCAGCTCTCCCCTCGGGGCCTTCGCTGTTTGCAAAGTCTTTGTCCTCGCTCTTTGGCTTCTTCCCCTCCCTTTGTCCCTCTTCCCCATTGCCCAGCGTGTTCCCCGCGGCCGCCCGCTCCCGGGCTGTCAGGAGCAAAGGAGGGGCAAGGGGAGCCCGCTTGTCCAGGGGGTTCTTGGCCAGGCCAAGGGCTGCGGCTTTCCCCTTCCGGCTCCTCTTCTTGGGCAGCAAGCCGAGGCTCTTGGCGGCCATGCTGCCACCGTGCTGTGCCGGCTCGGGAGACAAGCAGGCCTCACCCCTGAAGCAGTCGGAGGACAGTTTCTTGCCGTTCATTAGTTTCCCTTTTAAGGATCTGTTGTTCGAATTTCTGCATAATTGCTCTGCTACTGAAGCGGCAGGAGACTTTTGTGCCATGCCCTGGCTCAATGGCCTGGCTTCTCCCACCGCTGGGGTTACGCTCCCATGCTTCAAGGCCCGCTCCTTCTCTGCGGCGGAGGGGCTCAGAGGGCTGCGGCGAGCGGTAGTGGCGGCAGCGGCGGCGGCGGCAGTTTTGCAGGCAAACTTCTTCAGGTTGGGAGACGTGATCTTCTGCACGATGGCCTCCAGCTTGAGGCCCCTGCCCTTCCGCGGAGGCAGGACTTTCGTCTTCGTGGCCCCCTGAAAGGCGGCCCGGGAGGTGATTTTAATGCAGACGTCAGGGGTCTCTTTGGCCGGAGGGGGCTTCAGGACGGCCTCGCAGGGGCTCTTGGTGGGCAGTTTGGCCTTTGCCTTCTTGGCGGACGGCATCCGTTTGAACAAGCTGGGGGAGGTGTCAGGCTTCTCATCCTTGGTGCCACTGCTGTTGCTCCGTAAAACCAAGTTCCTCTTCTTGGCCGGGATGGGGGAGAGGAAGGTGGATTTTCTCTTCAGGGAATGCAGCGGCCGCTCAGACATCTTGCTGCCCATGCCAGCCCCCGGCTTGGGGAGCTTCATTCTCTTGCCTACCTTGTCCTCCTTGTGCGGGCTGCCCTGGGACGCCAACTTGAAGGCAGGTGGGAGGTGGTTGTTGGAAAGGAGCTTCTTGGACGCCTTACAGTTTTTGAGCCGGACCTCCACGGTCCTCCGCTCCCGCCTCCGCTTGGTGTAGAAGACCTCCTGCGTCTTTGTCCGGGACCGGAGGATCATGGATCTCTGATCCTTCACCTCGGTCTCTGGAGCCTCCAGGTCTTTAGGCTTCTGGCCGACCAAGTCCTCGTTCTGCACTAGGTTTGGGACCAGGACTGGAGCCAGATCGCTGGGATTTTGGACACCTTTGGGGGCTGGCTTCCCAGAGCGCTTCCTGGCCTTGAAGGCAGCTCTCTGCTTAATGGCACAAGCCGATTTCTTCCCCAACTTTTCCTGATGGTCAGAGGCTTTCAGCCCTTCCAGAGGGGCTGGCGTCCTGGGCTCCGTCAAAGCAGTGAAAGAGCGGGTACACATCCTTGCTGGCAAGCCCTCCGCTGGAAACCGAGGAGTCTGGCCATGGGCATTTTTGCTTGGTGTCTCGAGCTGGCTCTCTGGCCCAACACACGTGCTGCCCACCATGCCAGCCGCTGGGATGTCTTTGATTAGGCTGGGCCCCAGCTTACCAGAGTCCTCTCTCTCCAACAGCCTGCAGTGGACCCTCTTGCTCCGTAAGCTTTTGGCCCTCAAGGTCGGCTCTGATTTTATCAGCAGATTTTCAGGGGCCACTTGCTTCTTGACCTTGACCGACAAGGGCATTTCAGGTTCTGCCTTTCCCTGGAGAGTGTCCTCGCTCCCCACAGCTTCATCCTCAGGTTTGATGTGAGAGAGGGAAGATTCAAACCAACTCTTCACCTTGGTTTCGGTGCCAACGGCTGGGCCGAGGAGGATCACGGACTGGCCGGACAACCGAGAGGAAGGAGCGGAGCTCTCTTTCTCCACCGTGCTCACCGTCTCTTCGGCCGACACGGGCACATCGCTGGAAGAGAGCACAGTCGCGTTCTCGGGGGGTTTCGGCGGGGACGTGTCATAGATCATGGACTTCTGCTCCGAACTCGCCAGCTCGCACAGCGAGGAGTATTCTTCGGGCTCCAAGTCGGACTCCTTCAGATCCGGAGACGATATCATGGGAATCTCGCTGAAGTCCCCACCTGAACAGCAGTGCCTGGTGTCTTCCAGCCATCTCTCATTATCTGCTTTGGTGGCCTCGTCATACGTCAACGTCTCTTCCTCTTCCTCCCCCAGCTCCTGCTGGCTGAAATCCTTCGCTTGCTCATTCTTGGCTGGCTGTTCGCCATCGCACATCTCCATGCTGCAGGCATTTTTTTTCTCCTTGCAAGACCCAGCCAATTTGCTGTGGAATAAGCCCTTGGAAAGGTCTGACGATTGCAGGCTTGACCCCAGGTCTTTCCACCTCAGGCAGGATTCGCCGAGGCTTTCATCTGGCCAGTCAAAATGCTCCATGGTGCTTTCAGAGCCCACCGAGTTGGCGGTGGTGTTGGAGTAGCAGCTGTAGCTGGCAGCCCCGGAGCTGGAAGTAGCAGCTGGGATGCTGGGCTTGGAGTTGTATGCCAAGGACCCCGCGTCTTTGAGGGTGTTCTTTGTTTCTGCGGCTGCGAACTCCACCGAGGGAGTCTCGTAAACCTCCTCACTGAAGTCCTTGCCGTTGTTCCCACCGGAGGCTTTGTCTAACTTCAGGGATTCAGTGAGGGTGCTTGAGTCCCCTTGGCTGGGCCACGGGCCCTTTACCATTGAGTCCAGGCATGTCCTGTGGTTTTCTAAATGAAAGGGGGACTTAGTCGCTTCCTTGCTCAAGCTGGGGGAGTCAGCCCAAGCCTTGTCCACCTTCTCATTGATCGCGTCTTGCAAGACGATGATCTCAGACGCCAGCTCCTCCTGCGAGAGTGCGCTCAGGAGCAGCCGCGGGCACTCCCTTTCATTGGCCACAAACTTGGTGAAGGTCTCCAGGGGCAGGTTGGCGTGGATGCTCTGGAAGGAATCGTCGGACTTTGTGGACATGTCATCCGGGGACGTCACGGAGCAGGTGGACACGGATTCGGGCTTGGCCTTGGAGTTGCTGTTGACTCTGGCCGGGCTGCGGCCCTGTCCGCAGTAGAGGAAACTTCTCTCCAGTTGGTCTTCAGACCCACTCAGGTAATCGGCATCCTGGGTTTCAGCATGGACAGACTGTGGGGTGCTGAGAGGGTCTGACAGGGGCGTCCCCACCTGTTCAGCAGAGTACGTGCTGCTCTCAGGGCTGCAGTGCTGCCCTTTGAGCTGCTCCGGCGTCCGAGGAGGGTTCTTGATGCCTTTCTTCTGGGCCATGGACGACTTGGACAGGAGAAGCTGCTGGACGGTGTTGGAAATGTTTTCCACCTGCGAGGTGAGCGCCGTCAGGCTCTGCAAGCTGAGGTCGGACAGCAGGTTCTCGGGGATCTTCTCCTTTTGCAAGCTTTTGCAGTTCCCGGGCTGAGCCTCTGGACTCGTCCCATCTGTCGGAGAAGGGTTGAGCAACGGCATGAAGTGGCTGTGGTCTGTGATGCCGGCAGGGAACGTCCCGGCGCTGAGGGACTGCTGGCTGTACTGGAAGTTCTCTAGGTTGGGCATCAGGGGGGACGGCGTGGAGCTGTAGGACGGAGACCGCCCGACAGAGCGCGCCGGGGAATGGCTCGAGCTGGGGCTGAAGGTCTGGTAGTACTGCTCCGGCGTCCTCACAGGCGGTGCGTCGCCCTGGCAGTAGGTCTGGCCGGGCTGGCTGTAATGTTGGTACTTGGCCAGGTTCTGGTAATGGAGGGTTTCCTGGGCATGATGTCTTCCTTGCAGGGAAGGCTGGGGCTGCGGCTGCTGCTGTGGCTGCGGCTGCGGCTGCGGCTGCTGCTGCTGCTGCTGTTGCTGCTGCTGCTGCTGCTGCTGCTGCTGCTGGTCATAGCTCATCCGGTTGGCCTGATAGCCATGCAGGTTCTGCACCCGCTGCCCGGAGGCCAGGTTGGCGGCATTGCCCAGCGGCCTCTCGTGCTGCGGCTGGCCGGAGGGCGCGGTGCAGCTCTTGTAGGAGTGAGCCGACTGGCTCCCGCCGGGCACGGACGAGTACGTGGAGGAGGCCGGGAAGGACTGGGTGAAGTGGGGGCTTTGGGAGAAGGGCATGGGTGAGGAGACGTCATTTTGGATCTTCTGCCTCGGCAGCTTGGGGTAGGTCAGGGCGGGCTGCTGCTGGAGGTGCAGGGAGTGAGTCCTGAATGGCAGCTGCGACGCCTGCTCGTGGTACTGCCGGCTGCCCGGGGGAGCCGGTGTCTTTTTCATCAAGTTCTCCTCATACTTCGCCACCCCTCCGGCTAGGGCCTGCGGCTGGGCCCCCCAGGCCTGCAGGCTCTCCTCCCCGGAGTAGCGGGCCGGGTACGGGCTGTTCTCTTGGACGGCGTAATTCGAAAAGGACGGCCTGCCTTGCAGCTGCTGGCCAGGTAATTGCTTATTTCCCCGGTGATACTTCTCCACGGCGCTGTTCTCGTACCCCGGGTACGGCAGCTGCTGCTGATTGTAGTACTCTTTCGCCACCAGCCTCTGACGCTCGCAGTTCGGCCCTGCCTGACTTTGATGCCTGTAATTCTCCAGGCGTGATGTATCTTGTGAAGTCTGCTGGTAGTTCTGCTGGTTGCCATGGAAACCACACCTTTCTCGAAAGGACTGCATGGCTCAGGCTTGTTATCTGTGAAGAGAGAGACAGAGGATTCAAACGAGCCGTTTGCTTTTACCTCAGGTCCGGGCGGGCAGCTTTCCCCCCGTTCTCTCTCGTGTTGCTTTTGGCTTGCAAAGCCGGGACGAGGTTCGGGGAGATGGGTGG